GGTCGGCTCTCAGTGCCTCCTCCCGAGCCGTGGAGAGTCCTTTAGGTTCCGTTAGGTTTGCAGGTCGTGCTTAAAAGTGGGTTGGGTTACATAGCACTGAGTCCTCTACGTTTTATAGCGAAATTCTGTCGTTTCTTCCAGTGCCATTGAAGGTGCCATTGAAACTGTCAGAACGAGGGTGAAACTTTTAGTAGTTGCCCAAACCAGGTCAGGCTGGGCCTTGGCTCCGGCTCTGCCTTTGGGTGGAGGTCGCTGCCCCGTGGGGTCCTGTCCTGCCCTTGTTTTCCCCCAGCTCTCAACAGGTGTTCCCTGCACAGGGACACACCTGCCTGGCCCCCAGGACTGAGACTGGGCTGGGGCAGGTAGGAGGACATCAAGCGGTGCCAAGACTTCATGCTGGTGCCTGATTTACAAGGAGCACTGGGTTTGCTGTGAAGAAAATACCCATTTTATGCCTTAACCGGGGGCAGTTGGTTTTTCTGTTTCATTGTATCACCCATTTGCCTGTGCTGCTGTCAATGTTGGCCTCTTGCACTTCACATATTTGATGTGGAAACAACATGGAAAATGGTCTAAGGCTTGAGGCTGATGCTGATGAATCTGTTGCTCAAAACAAATAAGTAAGGCTCAGTGAACAAACCAACAATAACTTCCTGAAAAGTAGTTTCAGTGGTTTCTCACCTTCATGTAAATCTGGATCCTATCTGTGTGACCTCAATAGGACTGAAATGGCAGTCCATGAACTTTCTTCTGAAAAAAAAGCAGAAGTGCAAAAGGTTAGGTGAAAAATGATAGGAAAGCCAGAAATGGATTCTTGGTTACCAGTGTGTTCTGGTGGTTGCATCACAACAAATCCAGCATGTTAGATGGATAATTCAGAGAGCTTATGTTTTGCCACTGTAAATAGAAAACTTCTGAAATAAGCATTGAAAATCTGCAGTTCCAGACAGAGGCAAAGTAACTTTTAAAGAAACATGTAGTTTAATGTTCCCAGCCACATTTCACTTCTAGTACAATAAAATAAAAGAGCTTTTCTGTCAGCTTGGGCCTAAGTGGTCATAAAATACTCCTTTTATAAGACTTCAGTTCCTCTGTCAGTCTAGTCTCTGGGAAGAGCTCTCCGTGCAAATTGTGGCCTACCTGTGCTTGGTTCCTGTGTGCTGAGTGACCCAGTCTCTGCAGGCAGCGTGGCACCCCTGGGTGTCCTGGGTGCTGCTAGTCCATCTGCTGGGTGTGGTCAGTGTGGTGTCTGGTGCTTGCAGGAGGAAAGGGAGAACAAAAGCTGTGTGGGAAGCAAACTTCTCGCAGTGGAGTCCTCTCTGAATCCTAGCTGGTTTTCTCTTGAGGTTTCAGTTGTGACAGTAGGTGTGTTGCCTGGCCAGCTCCTGCTGTCCAAGCATGAATTAACATTCAAGTGCTCAGCAGGGAACCTGAGCCACACACAGAGCGAGATTCCAGCGAGCTCAGCCCAGCCCTCAGGTGCTGCAGCCCTTGCTGCAGGGTCCAGTGTGCTCAACTGCTGTGATTGTGCCAGAGGCCTTAAAGCAGAGACCAAGCCCATGCCCCTGAGAAAACTGCCAGTCTGAAACAACTGCACAGGGCCACGTTCTGCTGTGGATGAATGTGGCATCACAGCCAGACAGGGAGAGTGGGATCTGTGGCTGAGGAAAGACACTTTTGCTGAGTGCTTAGCTAAAATGTGCAGAGAAACCCTCATTTTGCACCAGAATGCATTTCAGCTCCAGTGCTGAGATCCCAGCAAAAGACATGCTTAAAGTGGCTTACTGAGACTAGCAGTAGGAATTGCTAAGGGCCATAATTATTTCTCTTTGAGTCTCATTTTCTTGTCAAAGGTTTTAAGTGTAATAAAAGCATTAATAGTAAACTTAAGGGAGATGAAAATGAGCCTTTGTAGCAGCTTTCTGTGAGCTCCAGGGTGTTGGAATAGGCCTGGAGGAGAGAGGTCAGAATTCTTTTTTGTTCTTTTTTTCGTGTTCAAATCACAGAAGAAAATCCCCAAACTTGTGAAGTGAGTAAAATTGTGATGAAGGTGACTTTTTTCCTTCCTTTGAAGCAAAACATGAGACAGGTTGCATTACAACCTCTGCCTTTTTTTTCCTTTTGCTGGGTTTTCTTTTTATTTTGGTCTTTCAGCAGCAGAGACAAAGATCTGAGAGCAACATATGGCATAAGGGTATCTGGTGATGTTCTCTCCTCCCTTTATAAAGGTTCCATAAGGTGAGCGTATGATTTCCAGGCGCCTGCATGGAGTTACTCCAGGGGATGATCAGGCTTGGATAACAGCGTTTTCAGCCTCTTGTGCATTGCTGAGCCACAGCTTTGTACCTGAAAAGCTTTGCCTATATTTAGTTTAAGGTTCACTAGCTGGTTTAAAACTTTTAGGAGCTTTTGCTGGGATTGTGTGAACTTGCTGCCCTGTTTCTGCAGACCTGGGTACCCCAGAACAAAAGCTCGTGCTGTGCTCTCAGGCTGTGCTGGCATAGGTAGTCTGCAGCCCTTGGCATGATCCCTGGTGCTGAGTTACCAGGTGTGTGGGGAGGGAATAACAATAAACACATTTGGGTTTTGTGCTCCATCAGCTGAATTGCTAGGCAGGTGGTTTGAAAATTGGATTAGCAAGAGCAGTCTTTCACCTTCTAAAATTACTGTTATATCAAGTAGTTATAAACAAGTAAAATAAAATATTTTATTAGCTCTATTATGCTGTGTCTGCAGTAGGAAATTACAGGGTTTACATTTCCTGAGGTTGATAAAGTCTTTCAGGAGGTTATGCAGCTATAAATCAAAGGTTACCTTTCAGATTGCTTATGAAGCTATATAGTAATTAAGATGTGGAGCTCTTCTCCTCTAGGGTTAAGTCCTTGGTGGTTGGTTCATTTCTTGTCATCTTAACATAGCAGCAATTTAACTGCCCCTTTCTGTCATCTCCTCTAGAAGCTTCTGTTAGAAAATGACCATCCAGGCATTCAGCCTTTGAGAAGCTGAGGTAGAGGGACAAACTGGACTTAAATCATAGGATTTTATTGATAAAGCAATGTCCATCTGTAGCACTGGAGGTCCAAAGCACAGCGTTGCTGCACTGAGCACAAACAGAAAGGAGTGCTCGTAGCTTCTCCTCCCATCATTGGATTGAACCCCTCCAAGACCCCACAAAAGCTGTTGTGTTTCTACTGGTGATACATCATGCATCTACTGGCAAACTGCCTTGTGTTTCGACTGGTAAAACTTCAAAAAGTGTACTTATGGGCCTGGAACAAATGTGAATGAATCAGCAACATGTTCCTGTAGTATTTCCAACACCTTAGATTACTTAATAGCCAGTGTGTTCCAAGAGCAAGCTTTGCTTTTGTGCTACATCTTCCCAGTGCAGCTCTGTGGAGTACAATCCTTCAGAAACTCCCTGGGCTGTCTCAGCCCCTTTGTGCTGCCCTAGGGGCAGGTGGTGACATGCAGGAGTTTCACTGGTGCCCAGGACATGCTCCATGGCCAAGTGTGTGAGCTGTCACTCGCCAGGGCTGCTCACGTGTGTACAGGAACGAACATACGTACACAGAAAAGAAATTTGCAGGTGCTGTGTGAGTGTGGGAAATGCTGTTGTCCTGTGTCTGCTGTCTGTCATCTCTCCAGTCCCTGTTTCAGCTGCTGAATGTTTCCCAGAAGGACTTGCTGAAGTTTTCCAGGCTTAACGTAACCTTCCACTTCTGCTTTCAGTGCCTCAAAACTCATTTTCTTCTCTCCTGCTTTGTGTTTCCTCAGCTGACCTAGGCTGTAGTCACTTTCTGCACCTTCCTTTCCGTGCTGCTTTGCCCAGAGGAGTGTCAGGAGTGACACAGCGTGGGTGGAGCTGCAGCCAGCCTTGCTCCCTGCTGCCATCCCCTTCCTCTGGTGCTGCTGTGGGCAAGGTTTGGTCATCCCTTGGGAGCGACGCGTGTGGAGAGCATCTCCTCCCCCGAGGGATGGGTTTCATGTTTGTAGAGCTGGACTGAGCTCATGAGCGCTGTGCCTCTGGACTGTGCTGACCTCTGTCTCCTCCTAATTGTCAATTAAACCCATCTCTCCTAGGCCCTCCTTTTGGCTGGGGAACGAGACCTTGAGAGTGCCTGTCGCGCTCTTTGCCCTGAACCGGAGGCGACTGTGTGAGCGCCTGAGGCGCAACAAGGACGTCCAGAAGAACTCGGTTGTGCTGCTGCAGGGTGGAGAGGAGACCCAGAGATACTGCACTGATACTGGCATTCTGTTTCGCCAGGTGAGAGCTGAGTCTGCAAACTAAGAAGCTCTTCGACTGCAGGAATTTGTAAATGATTTGCAGTTATTTTCCCTTTATCTCTCAGATGTGCATTGTTTTGCTTCACTGCAATAAACTGACTTCCTTAAAACACTGTCTCTTCAGCTCTGAGTTGCTCTCTCTCTTTCAGTACTTTAGTGTGCAGACTCTGTCTGGTTTAAAGGGCCTAAACCTGTTCAAGGCCTTAGTGTCAATCAATGTTTAATCTAATATTGAAGACAACAATGGAATATTTTTTCAGTCTGGTCTGACCCAAAAAACAACCTTCTTTCTGTAGTGAAACGTATTGCAGTTGACTGAGCTGAATTAATGAACAGAAAAGCATATCTCATGTTTTTATAAGGAGTATATTCCACAAAGCAGCATGTGCCGTGGAATTCACCACGTCTGCTCAAATGAGACTCTTCCTTAAGCACCCAAGTGGTGTTCTGTCACAGAAAGGGCCTAACAAGTCCTGGGGATGTTGGCATAACAGAGCTCTAACTGTGTGTATCCCATACTCTGTGTGGCACTTGGTTTGTGAGTCTAATTGAGCTGCTTATGTTAGGAAGAAACAAACCCAGTCAATTCTAGTGTAGATAGTGCATATCTCAGTGTAGTTGTTAGTCTGGTTTTGGAGGAGATGCACCTCTCAGGGTGTCAGAGCATGTGTCTGTACTTACCAAAACTCATCTCTGTATTGTTGGGTGCTTTGTTGTTTGCTTCTTGTTCTTAGAGTAACTCGTGACTGAAGGCTGTTCCTAGTGCAGCTTCCTCTTCTCTAGGGGAGGTTGGGTTTTCACCTCAGCACTCTGCCTCCACAGCCCACTGAAGCTGCTCTCTGCTTTCCCTTGTCTCTTGGGACATGATTGTTTCTTCCCAAATTCCCTAACTCTTCCCTAATTCCAGATTGGAAGAATGTATTCTAATGTGTGATGTGTGTTTATTGAGCTATTTATTCCTCACGGTAGCTTATTAAACTCTGATCCTTTCTAGTTGCCAGCAGAGGAATTTGTATCCGTCTAACCTAAAACTAAAATGACCTAGACCTAAACCAGATCTCCCCTGCAAAAGCAAGAGACACCTCCTCCAGATACGTGGCCGGGGGAGTTAGCATGTACTGCAGTGTGTGTTTAGAGCTGCTGGAAGTGAGATGTTTCTGCTAAGAGTATGTTTTGTCTTTAACCCAGGAATCTTACTTTCACTGGACTTTTGGGGTCACTGAAGCAGGCTGCTTCGGCGCGGTCGATGTCGACACGGGGAGATCCATGCTCTTCATCCCACAGCTCCCGGAAAGCTATGCGGTTTGGATGGGAAAGTAAGTCCTGTCTTCTCACTGCATTCCAGTGTGTCCCAGTGCTTCCCCCGTCCTACCTGTCTGCAGAGCTGCAGTGCTGGCTCCTGTTAATCAGACTGCACCAAGCCACGTGCTGGGAGGTGTAGTGATGTGCACATGCAGAGACACAAAACACGATCAGCTGGCACGGATCGCGTGGTGTCCAGTGATCCACCACCAGCTGGGAAAGAACACCTTGAGGATTGGAACCCATGAGCCTCATGGGGTCTGAGAGAGAGAGCTGAACCAGAGGCAAGTCAGTGTCTTGTGCCCAAACAAACTAAATAACAGCACAGGCTCTTTCAAACTGCTCCACCAGTTTGCAGCAGCCTTAGCTGACGAAGCCTTTGGAATGGCAGGAGGTAGTTTAGCCTCTTTGGTACTTTATTTTATGTGAACTCACAGACTGGGGAATGTGATTCTAATTCTGCTCTATGAGCATGCCATAAACAGCTCTCTGTCCACCTTGGTAGTAACTGCTGCACAATGCATAGTGGAGGAATTGATTTATTTATGTGTTTGCTTATTTTCTCAGTCTTAATTGTGTTCATACCCTCTACCAAACTGTAAATTTTTGTGTCATCTACATTGTCTTAGAACATTGGGTTGCTTCTAATTAAATATTTTGACAGGCTGCTTTGCTTCTAATTGAAGCTCTTACTTATATTTTAATGTTAATTTTGGGAAAAGGGAAACAATCACAACCAATCCCTTGTGCTGAACTGTGCCAGACCATATGGCAGGGCATGGCTGCTGTCTTCTCGGAGAGTTGATATGGGTATCACTGTCTTGCACCTGCCTGGAGCTGAAACTGTGATGGCATAAAAATGTGAATAATGCTGTCTGAAATATTTCAGGAGATAGCTACACCTGTCTGGGAGGGCAAGTTCTGCAGCCCCCACGTGTACTCTCTGAAGTCTGTTCCCTTGTGGTGCTTGTTTCCACTTACAGTTTAAGTTCTCTTCTACTAGGTCAAATCAGCTGGTTCATACCCACACTGGTTGTGCCTAATGTAAAAGGGCTTAAAATGTTCTTGAAATTTCAGCCTCTCATTTTGCATCCTCAAACAAAACGTTGTGGTGTTTGACTGGTGGTCTCTGTGATTTGTTTGTGCAGCACTTGTTATCCATCCATCCATTTACAGAATTACAAGTCTGGTTAAACGTGGGTCATTGTGTCTTCTTGTAGAGTGTAACAAATGGTCTTTATCACAGCATCCTTGTTTTCTAAATTCTCCCCCGTACCCTTCCTGAATCCCTCTGTTTGAGTCTTGTTTTCTCTTCTATCAGCCGTGGTCATGTACTTTTTCTGCTTGTCAGGAGGAGGATGGATGAATAACTCATTTGTGAGTCAGTAGCAGTTCTGCTTCATAAGTTGGTTGGCAGGGGGTACTGCACACAGCTTGGGCTTGTGCTCGTTCCCAGAAGACTCAATTTTAAGTCAAAAGTAGCACTGAAAGAAAAACACAAGTAAGTTTGCCTTCCATGCACTGCAGTTTGTCTGCAGTAGTTGCTGTGGAAGTGCTTACTTCTGTGCATGTGGAAGGCACTGTCTCCCCAGTGGAGAAAATCATTTAGCATCAGTGAAGCACAGATCAGATCAGGCCCTTGTGTGCTCTTTGTGAGGCTGGTATTTTGCAGAGCTCTACAACCAGGCTCAGACCACAGTGCAGGGTGCAGTTGCTTTGCCTGGTGTTGGTATTGCTTTCTGTTTGAGACAGGTGTGGGGATCTGTGATGTGAATTTAGGCAGACACACAGAGCCAGTGAGGGGTCTGAGAGCATTTCCTGAGATGAGCAGAGGGTTAGTATACAAACAAGACCAAGAGCACTGATTATTTTAGCCTCACTGGTTTTTGTGCCTGGTGCTGCCTGCTGAGGTGGTGCCTGGGGACTGCAGAACAGGTGGAGATGATGTTGCAGCAACACTCAGTCTGTTTGGAAATGATGGGTGTGGGCATCTCTCCTAACCCTGGGCCAGCCCATTTCTTAGTTGCTGCTGAGTCTTTTCAGGTCAGAGAACCTCTTTGCCCATCCCTTGACCTCTGTCCCTGCCCCTGTGTTGTTTGCAAGGCAGAAACAGCCTCTGAGCATGGCTTGGTGGGGAGGTGGGTTTGGTCCTCAGCATTTTGCTAGTCTTACTTTCAAAGAAAGAAGAGTTTAAGAAATGTGTCTAGTGGTGTAAGATTCTAAAGGCTTCAGAAGTGTGAGAGTATTGCAAATGCCCCTTTGTTTTGGCATGGTCTTACCTGGCCAAGTGTGTGGCACAACAGAGCTGTACATCATTTCTGTTCCTGGGAAGCACTGAGCTGGTGTCGCTGCATGTCTTGCACAGACACTTGAATTTCACTAATTAGTGCTGCACCTGCCATTTACCTCCTTAATTATAAATGACAGAACCAGTCAGTGTGCTGATTAAAGATGTTTTATAAAGTAAAACATGCTATGCAGCAGCTGCTTTGCATGGAGCACATGCCAACGGAACCTAATTGCTTTGCCACATAAGGAGTGTTTTTGGTGGAAAGCAAAAATATTTAACACTTTCATGCTCTAACTTTAGAAATGCACCTTGAATGGAGCAGAGCAGTATTTATGTGTGGTGTGCTGTGTTTCTGTGAGCCCTGCTGGCTGACTGGTGGGCACTGCAGCATTGCACCCACTGCCAGGATTCTCCCTGAGTTTGGTTGGAAGCTATCTGTGTACAAAGTTGAACCTTGGTGTAGCCCTTGGAGCTGTAATAAAGCACAATGAGATGCTTTGCAAGCATTAGTAAGTTCTCAGTGATGTAATGAGGAAGTTTTTAAAACATTGTCATCATTTTCGAGGTAGCTCATGACCAAAACCGACCCTGGGATCAGCACCAACCTTTGGTTTTGGTGATTAAACTTCACTGACCTCAGCAATGCTGAGCAGTTTTACTGCCTCGCAGGAGTATGTGGTTGGGTTTTCTTGTCTGTTTGCTTTTTCCTCAAACTCTTATAAAGAAAAAAGAAGCCTTTCAGTCTATGTGGATTTTTACCCTTTTTTCCCCATAGGCTGTGTGTGATGATGAAATTAGAAGCTAAGATGCTTTTTCTTAATGGCAGTTGGTGAGATTTTGTGTGGTTTGTGTTTGGAGTAATTGTGAGTGTGACACTGTCCAGCTTGGTGTGTTTATCTGAGTGTACCACGGTGGCTGAGCCAGGTGTGCTGCTCAGCCCTCGGCGTGGGGACAGGGCCAAGGGCTGTGGGAGGCTCACCCTGTGCAGGTGGCCCTGGGGCAGGGAGTGGGGCAGGGAGTGGGGTGTGTGCTGTAGGGAGCAAACCCCACGTCACCCTGAGTGCTCTCCCCACTGTACACGTTGCAGGAACAAGGGACACCTTCTCTGTGAGTTGATTGAGTTGGGGTGCAGGTCCTGCTCCTGCAGGTTTTACCTTCAGAGATCTGCCATATCACCCTGATGTTTTTCATTGTAACTTCTCTCAAATGAAACATGCTTAAGTGTTTTCTTCTCCCATGTCTATCAGTTTGTTCTTTTCCTGCCCTTTTACCCTTCCCTGTACCCACTGAATCTTTATTTTATCGTTAAAAAAAGATCAGTTTCTAATCACTTTAGGTCATCTTCTTGCCATTTTGTACCAACTGGCAATTGCAGTTTATCTGCAAAGTTTGTTACCAGCTGCAAATGTCACCTGTGGCTCTCATGAACACACCGAGTCCTGCTTCTGTCTCTGAGTGCTGTCAGAACTCATTTCAGTCTTTGCAGTATCCCACTAATCAAGACTTGCAGCCCATTGCTTTTTATCACTGTAACTCCTGGGAACATCAGTCTAAATTCATCCAGCATTTCCAGTGAGGCAGTTGGAGGGTTTCCCAGCCCTTGAAATGCTCATCTTTTTATCTATTTATTTATTTTTATTTTCTGCTTTAGGCTTTTTCATTTTTCTGTTACGGCTACTCATTGGGTTTCAGGTCACATCATAGCATCCTGTCCAAACCAATTTGAGCTGATTTTGGAGAGTAACAGTCTTGAGAGAGATTTTTATCAAATATTTTACTATTATTCAGATAGTACATCTGTTGCTTTACCCTTCATTTGATCCTTTCAGAACTGTACAATAAAGCTGGTTGCTTTTGATTGACGACAATTCCCCAGGCTGCTTATTTTCCATGATTCCAGTCCTCTCTCTGCTGCAGTGATTTCCATTTCTTGTCCCCCATTCATTTATTAGGGTATTTCATAGAATCATAGAATTTAGGTGTTAGAAAGGACCTTAAAGCTCATCTAGTTCCACTCCCTGCCCTGGGCAGGGACACCTCCCACCAGCCCAGGCTGCTCCAACCCCATCCAGCCTGGCCTGGAACACTCCCAGGGATGGAGCAGCCACAGCTGCTCTGGGCAACTCTGCTGCTGGTGGGAGGGTGAGCTGTCTGGGGGTTGCAGTTTTCCTTGGGTTTGTCACTCCCTGTGACCTGTGCTGTGTCTGTCTGCTCAGGGAGGACTCTCTGAAGGAGTGTGGTCGCTGGTGAGAAACATTCAAAGAGGAAAGTCCAACCCCAGCTGGTCTGTTAGAATCTGGTAGGGAGACAGGTCGTTACTATTAGCACTGCTAAGAGGCAGATGTGGGTGAAGAGCAGGCTGTGTTCTCCTGGCTGTGTTCTCCTGGCTGTTCTCCCCTTGCTGGGGCTGCACGGTCAGAGCGTGTGGCCTCGACCCTTGTGCTGGGCACTGTGCTTGGTCATGCTCTGCCCTTCTTTGTGCCCAGGGAGTTGCTGTGCTGAGTTCATTGAATTTCTTTGTGGGTTAGCTTTCCTTCCAAGTTTTACAATGGGAATATTATCACCCCCTTCTTGCGGCTGTTCAGGTCATCTAAATGCTGAAGTAAACGTCAGTGCTGCTCTCTCTCATTCTGTTGCTGGTTATTCTGGGAGCTGTGGGACGTGCTGCACCACTCCAGAGCTTGCTGCAGTGCTTGTATCTGTGAGACATAAAGTATTGCTCGT